AAAAAACCCAACATTCATCATTAGGCTTATGACAATTTTGTGTGCCTCCAGCAGCAGCTACTTGAATGCAGTACTTACTCCAGATATTTTTGCATTGGTAGACTTCACAGGCATCATTTTAACACCTCACTTTGAGCTATCATACAGCTGCCTGGAAAGAAATAGTAAGTAGGTCTGCAGGAGTACAAAGAACACACATGGCAACGTCTTCAGATGCTTATGTTGAAAACGTAAAAGGGAAGGTACTCCAAATAAGTTTCTCTTGTTCAGAAATACAATGGGCAATTTAAAAAAACCTATTAAGAGTGTGTGTAGGAGCATTTCCCGTTCTGGGAGACAAGTTGAATTGTTATATGGAGCTATATTATGACTTTCCTGACAAAGTATCAATCAAGACTCCATTATGTAACGAGGTATCCATCACACGCGCCCTATTGAGAGCCCCTGCCGTGAGCATGTAGACTGTAATCCAGGCTCCTTTGTCCTGCCCTGTGCCAATTTGCTCTAAAATTGAGGCCAAGGCTAGAATTTGTCATTGTAACTGCCTTAGGACCACAGCGTTACAGCTGTGCTTTCTGAACACTTATTTGCATTGCCTTGATTAGCATGTCACCTGCTTCATTAGTGAAGAAAATCCTCATCCACAGGTTCAGCCATTCATGCAAATTGAAAAATACACGGAGATCCTTCCCCTCTAGGACTTTCCATTATTAGTAAAATTGGTAGATTCTTTTTGTTCCTTCCTCCTCTGAAGGTCACTTTCATTTTCACCTCAGAATGAAAGTTCTTATTTAAAAGACAAAATAATCATATTCCCAAACTTTAAAATAGAGGAATGCTGCTTACAAAAATCCAGTTCCAAACTAAGAACTGTCAGATGCATGTAAGATAGAGGTAGAAGCTCCAACGTTTTAATCTGATTCTGAAACTGACTCCCATCTGCAAGGGGCATTGAATCATTAATTTTATGGAGGTCGGGAAAGTGTTTTCACAGTCAAAAAGTTTTCTGCGGTGTAGGACCTAAATCTCTTGAGCTCTAAACTGAACAGTTTCTTCCCCTTTTATCCTCAGCAAACATTAAGAACAAATTGTTGTGTTTTCCCTGATAACATATTGGAAAGCTTATTTCCTTTCTCAGTCCTCTTTTCCAGACGACACAATTTCAATTCCTAATGAGTCACGTTTTCCAAAGCTCATAATCCTTTTTGCTTTCCTCTGGACCTCGGGGAACCTTGTTTCCTGAAGTTACCTTTTGATAGTCATAGTTACTCCACTGACTTAACAGGACACGCCAAACTTGCCCTTTTTAAAGGATTTCATATGCCAGATGACAGTTCATTCCTGAAGTCTCTAAGAAATATTACTACCGAGGAAAAAAAAAAAGAAAAAAAAGCTCTGCTGAGAGGGACAGTAGCAACTGTCTCAAGAGATGTCACTCAACCTCTGAGGTCCTGACACCAAAGGGTAACTTACAGAAACTAAGGATATAATTGCAGATTCTGAGTCAATAATTTTTTGCTTAAGAATCCACAAGTTGTGAATAAAGCTTTTTGCAATTTCAAGAGCTATTCAGCTTTTGTAGACAAGAATACCTAAAATGTTGGCATTTAAATACAGACTCCTCATATAGCTTCCTTGAGACCTATGACAGGTTGCCATCATGCACAGGATCTCAGTCAAGACTTGGAAATCCCTTACACGAGCATTAACTGTGGTAGCTGCAGGGTCAAAAACACTACAAACCAAAAGAGGGTTTCTTCCATTCCTCTCCTGTCACGGCCACGATGTGCAGAGCAGTTCGGGACATACTACCTAAAGCAAGCCAAGAAGAAAAAAAAAAAATCAAAAAAGACTTAAGCTGACTTCACTACCCAATTCAGGGGAGCTGTTGGGGAGACAGACATAAGAGCAGAACGACAAATTGTACAGGAAAGTAACAAGACTTGTAGCATTTACAGAAACAAACGGTAAACCATGATGTGATGAAGGAATTTTAGGGGGCAGGAACAGAGGGAAGAAAATACAAACTGTTGATGGCCTTGAGAAACAAATAATGCAAGATGACACGCATAATAATTATAGGTATTCTACTTTTTTCGTTTCACTGTTATAATGAATTTCCAGAAGTGAATGGCAGGTGTTTGTTGAGGGATGGTGGAAAGAGAGCAGCCTTCCTCTCTTCCCCAGAAGTTACTACAGGCTACACCCAAGACACTGGGCAGGGAGGGGAAAGAACTGACCGCGTTAACCCTCTCTCAGCCACCTGGCAAACTCCTCTTGTCCACGCAGTAAGTCAACCCGGCAGCACCAGCCACCTGCCCCAGGCTGCGTTTCTAACGTCAGGGAGGTGGTTTTGCTTCACTTCAAACACTGCGTTGCAGCTGTATCACAGGGAAAAAAAGCGTATGCACCTCATCACATCTCCTGGGAAATGGCAACCACATGTGAAAATATCAGTAAAATATCATAAAGCTGATTTTCCACAGATTGAGGTTTGTACAGCTTGCTGAAGGGCCCTGTATTTTGCCTTTTTTTTTTTTTTTTTTTAAGGCAAAGGTTGAGCAATATTGCATATTTGTACCTTGTGCAGGGCACACGTGGCCGCCTTGGAGCTCCTGCCTTCATACATTGCAACGCAGAACCTCCTCCCTCTCACCTGACTGGAGAGAAACCAGGAGGCCTGGCAGAGCTGTGAAGGTCTGTTTATTCCCGAATGGAACGAAGGGAAGAAGTGAGTCAGACATGTCTCGGCTGTTCAGAGAAAATGAAATCCTGCTCCTTTTATTGCACAACTCTTGACAGCAGTCACATCTGTCACGTTTCCTATGCAAACCCCTTGCTAGGAGCCAGTGGCTGGAGAGGTGAGGAAGACGGATTTTCCAGGACACGTTATGGAAACTGCATGTGATTAAGACGACGCAAAATCACCATCAGATCCCTGGTGCGAGCTTAGCCAGGATTCCCTTCCCCCAGAGGATGCAGTCGACTTGACATTTTGTGATGACCTACAGTAGCGAGACCCACCCTGTTCAGACAGTTGCATGCACTTATCAGATTAAAGATGATTAATGGTACCAGGTTGTTCCTGCCTCATCTTATTCAAATATACATAATCAGCAAACGCTCCCGAGCACGCAGTACTTTGAACTGGAGCATTTTTAAACTCTCGCATAGGATGACAAGCCTAAAATACGCATCATAAAAGTCTGAAGTATCAAAAACTGTGGAGAGCTCCTGGGGCACTAGTGCTTTCCTCCGTCAGAGGAGGAATTACTGCTCTGTTATTAACAGACCAGCCTCTTGCCCACTCACTCGCTTCCGAGGTGGGGAGGGAAGAGCAAGAGCCTTACCTGCAAGAGTCCCCCGGCCGCCGGCGGGCACCGCTTTCCCGGGCCTGAGGCAAGTCTAATAAAGAGGGAACGGTAAGTGCGACAGCAAACACCACCACACCATCTTGGAGGGGGGAGACAAACCACCAGTAGCCTCTCACCATATAGTATTTTGCATCATTTATTTAAATACCTATATTTATGCATTTACAAATTTTCATAGCTCTGTTTGTAGCTCTTTTTTTTTTTTTGTAGACAGTATTGCAGAGAAATTAGCTTTTGTAAAATGAGGTCCATGTTATAAAACTATGCAATGGATTGGAGGGGAAGGGAAGAAGAAAAAAAAAAAAAGAGGTTCCTCTCATACTCTCTAGAAGCAGAAACCAAAGAAAGAGTGACCAAATGGAGAGGGAAAGGGATAGAAAGGGATGGGACAAAATCTCAAAACAAGTGGCTCTCTCACAAGTATTACATATATCAGTGCTCTACTACAGTCCTAAGGGGATAGTTCATGTTTCAATTGGTGCAACGCCTGTTTGCCCAAACTTTAGCAGGCACATAGGTCTCTAATGAAAAAATAAAAGGAAGGAATCCTACGCTGAGAACGCAAAGCCCGGACAGCCTCATTAGAGTTTAAGTGTCACGGCACAAAATGCCTGTAGGAGACTGCACTGATTCACCAGTAGTGCATACTCATCCCAAACTTTCATTTTGCATAAAAAGTTCCCTTTAAGAAATTTTACTGTTTAAAAAACCTGGTATCTGAGCTCTTCTAGCCTCAGTACTTTGAGGAAAACACTTGAAAAATACCTCCTGTTTTCCTTATTTGGAAGCTTCAAAGTAATGTTTTGCTTTAATTGACACTAATTTAACAGCTCATGAATTCCCAGAGTTCTCTCTGGGAGGAAGAGGCAACAGATATGGCATTGCAGGATATTTACACACATGGTACAAAAATGTCCAGGGGTATGAAAAATCACCAGTAACACAATTTTGCAGCAGCCTCATTTACACTTGTAATTTTATACCATTTATTACATTGTACTAACACACCAGATTCAAAGATGTGCACTCCCTTTAGGACATTCAGGAGTTACAAATATATTGTGATTGCATAATTCATATTGCACAATTGTATAAAAACATAAATACTAGCTATTCTATTTTTTAAATACAAAATACATGTCACATAGTCAAATATTCTTTTCAAGTGCAATTCAGGTGCTCTCTTTAGTCCTTCCAATAAAAAGGCAATTTTGATAGTTTTGGCACAAGTATAACCTCCATCATGTGCCAACAGTTCTAATTACAATACGTATGGCCCCAGACTTTATATAGTAGCAGTCATATACATATAGTATAAAAACACGTTATTTACAAAATGAACTAAACATACACAGAAGCAGCCTTAGTGGTTGAATCTGAACTCTTGTTTAGCATCATCCATATTGTTGCAAGAGGGATAAGTGACCCTTCTGATTTATGCTGGTTGCTGTGGGTTCACATTCATGGGAGGAGGGTGTCCTAGGAGACCAATACGCTGTTTCTGCTTCCTCTGTTCTGTCATCTGGAAAATTAAAAAGTTTGCTCATTAGGCCTAGACACTTCCTGTACGTCAGCTTGCAGAATGAACCATCACTGCATTTTGTGGTTAGGGTTTATTCTGAAATCCACTTTCTACAAATAATGCTCATCTGTCTGCTATGCCAAATACTAATAGATTAAAAAGGCAACTACAAACTCATCAGGGAGATCTATGAACTTGCTCGTGTGACTGGCTACTGTTTTGCAAGGAAATAGCTCATGAGAGCCAAATGGCTGGCATGAATTAATACAGATAGTAGCTTGCAGAAACTTCCCGGTAAACATTGCTTGTAGCTCACCCAACACACAAAACCCACTAAAGAGAAAAAAAAGGAGAGCCTTCAGGTCAAGCTGGGAATACCCTTTTGTTTGCTGGAATATACTGGAACGCTCCCACTCTTTCATCAGAAGAGGGCAATCATCCGTCTCGATTTGCCAAAGCCAAAGTGCAAGGCAGTGATGTAAGATTAACTACTTTCCTTAACCTTAGTGCCAGAAAGACAAATCTTTGCCAATACTTTCTATCAGATAGAATAATGTTGGTGCCACTATAAAAATAATGTTTGGTGCCACCAACTAGGTTGGTGCCCTTATGACCTGAAAATGGATCGTCATTTTTTATTACTGCGGTATGGAAAAATGGCCCTAATGCATCCCTTCCTCTACTCTTTCTTGTTAAAAACGTCCCAAACGTGTGAAAACTTACATAAACATACACGCCATATAAGCAGCAGCTCTAGCATGCGCCTGATTTCCATCAGCGAACAGTCAGACCGCTGCACAAGTGTTTTTCCTCCACCTCGGTTTCTGAGGAGCTGATACCTGGAGGGATTTGCAGCAGCAGCCAAGGAGAGATGTGGAGGTGGCACCTCCAAACCCCTCCTGGAGCGGCTCACAGGCTCGAGCAGGACAGGCACCGAGGTGAGGGAGGCACCTTTCTGCAGCTCCATGCTAACGCCGGACAACCCTCCTCCTTTGACACCAAGGGCCTGAGCGAGCCCCCGCTTCTGCGGGGCCTGTGTCAAAGGTCTGACACGCAACCATATATATCATGACACGTTGCCTGTGGCAGCGCTTCGACACCCCAACCACAGCCGCAGTCACGTTCCACCTCTGTCGCTTCTTCCCTCAGGTTCCGCATACCACATCCGACAAAAAGGGATCGGCAGAACCTGGTGCCCTGCATCTGCCACGTACCCCGAGCCTCCGGAGCAGCCTCGGAGAAGTGGGAAGCAGGGGGTTCTGGGAGTGCACCTGCACTCGGTCATGTGCAACACGCACACTTGCATGTATTTGCATACAAGCTAGAATTTGAGAGATGGTGAAGAAATCCCCCTTTCTGATGTGGGATACAAGGGCAGGTGCTGAGGGAGCAGCCCACGTCAGTGCGGGGCCACCCTCGACTATCTTTGAAAGGTCATGGTGATGGGGGGGAGGTTCCTGAGGCCTGGAAGAGAGCAAGTGTCACCCCTGTCTTCAAGGAGGGCAAGGAGAAGGATCCGGGGAACCACAGGCCTGTCAGCCTCACCTCGATTCCTGGGAAGGCGATGGAGCTATTTCCAGACACGTGAGGGACCGGCAGGTGACTGGGAGCAGTCAGCACGGATTTGTGAAGAGGAGATTGCGCCCGACCAACCTGACAGCATTTTACAATGAGATGACAGTTTGGTGGATGAGGGGAGAGCAGTGGATGTTGCTCATCCTGACTTTAGCAAGGCTTCTGACACTCTCCCATAACACCTTCATAGACAAGCGGAGGGAGCGCGGGCTAGATAAGCCAAGAGTGAGGCGGAATGAAAACGGGCCAAGCCTCCGGCTTCAGAGGGTTGTGATCACGGGCACCAAGTCCAGCTGGAGGCCAGTCACTAGTGGTACCCCCAGGGCTGTCAAACTTTACTGGAGTTCACTGTAGCAAACAGAGTTGGTCAAAACAGCTAATCCTGGGGAATCTTCAAAAGGACCCTCAACCTACCACAGACCGCGCAGCGCCGTACACACAGTTGGTTTCATTCACCTAAGTACAACGAGTATGTATCGTTACCCTCCCTTAACCTCCAGGGAAAGGACTGAAATCCAGCATTCCTCTCGAAACTATGATTACACTGGATTACAACCAGGTGTCTTGCTCAACATCACACCAAAGGGGAGGCAGAACTGTTACGTTACTCGTTAAGTAAAGCACCATGGTCTCACAAGGAAAGGTCATTCCTCACGTTCTCCTTTAAAGCACTTTTGGAAGTCCGTTTTCAAAGCCTTCCAGAGAACCACCGACAAAAGGGAGCGGATGACAGGGAGAGAGGGGTCTGTGCATCTCTCTGCTTTACTGACAGGCTCATCAGAAAAGCTGCTCCTCTGCTGAATCAGCTGGGACTTTCCCGCTCCCTGTTTTTACGATAACCCACAAATTGGAAACACAAAGAGACAGTGAATACTTCACTTAAAGAATGCCTGTTTACGTGAACCAGTTTCTCTGGGCGAATTAAGAGCCATGATTTCATACCGCTAGCAAACTGATTCAGAGGACACAATAAAAAAAATATCTGGGAAAAAAAACAATGAAAAGAGACTGTGATAGGTATTTTTCTTGTTGCTTAGAAAAAGCGATGTGTGTTCTGATGCAGGAGACTTACAAGGAGACTTGCCTTTTTCAAAAGGGAAGAATAAACCAACTGAAGTTGAGAGAGAAATGCAACGTAAATGCAGAACGTTACTAATACTGCAAGATGTGCAAATTCTTGTAGAGAAGGCACGAGATGGAACAATTTTCATCTTTCTTACATTTAAGCGGAGAGTGAATCTCTTGCAAAGGTTGATAGCTGTAGTGACTGTACACCTGGGCCTAACAGACAACCACCACCACGCACAACGTCTTGCAGGGAAGCTGCCTGCTCCAGGAGGGGCCCGATAGCCTGTGAGTAACGTTGAAAGGATTAAAGAAAACAAAAACAAAACCAAGGGGCCTGAAGTTCAACTGAGTCAAGGTGGACTCTCAGATAGTCATATATAATTACACAGAGGCACTCTGCCTAGTTTCAAAGGTTACCTGTGAGCTGGAATTAGCTCCAGAAATGAGAGCAATGCATGTGCCAAATGCACGATCGGGATACTGACTATACGCACCAAAACATGCCATACATGACAGGCCAGTGATCGCCTGCTCTGCTGCTCGAATAAAGGAAACCCGGGCGACAGTTCCAGTAATGAGTCAAGGTTGTGGTTAGGGAGGTTAAGGGTCCCCAGCTGATGAGGGAGGTTTGTCTTGAAAGAGAAGTCAACATCTCTTACAAATGCATCATACTTACTGACATTGGGACACGGCACTGGAAAGGACTTCTGGGTGATTACATCTAATCCCCTGCTATTGCAGACAATTATGTTGTAATCTTTTTGCACAGAATTAAAACGATCAAGATTTTAATCAGTTCCAGTAATGAGTCAAGGTTGTGGTTAGGGAGGTTAAGGGTCCCCAGCTGATGAGGGAGGTTTGTCTTGAAAGAGAAGTCAACATCTCTTACAAATGCATCATACTTACTGACAATGGGACACGGCACTGGAAAGGACTTCTGGGTGATTACATCTAATCCCCTGCTATTGCAGACAATTATGTTGTAATCTTTTTGCACAGAATTAAAACGATCAAGATTTTAATGCCACTTGGTGGATTTTTTTTTTTTTTTTGGTGAAAGTAGGCATGCCGAAAGTCAGTTTTTTAACAATTGCAGTCTCCAGAAACCTAACAAGCTTGAAAAATGCATGAATGAGAGGCTTGCCCTTTATTTAATTACAAGCAAACACAAATGAAAGTTCCCTGAGTTACTTCCTTTTCCTGGAGACAGTTCCTGATCAGGAGGAGGGATATACTGGTTTTGTCACATAATTGGAGCATCCTGCAACTTAAGCAGGGTTCTCTCAATAACGGTACTTAGGGGAATTCTTAAAAGCTATCACAACATTAACGAAGCTGGTTTCCTCTTTTGCTTTTACAGTCAAATAGCTCTCTAAAAGCTAAATCCTTCATTCTTATTTTCACCAAGAGCGAGAAGGTTTTTTAGTGCTTGGTCAGCCAACAACTGCAAGCTTTAGAAATAAATGCGCTGCGATCCAAGGCTGGCTTGAGTCGATGGAAAGACTCCTGTTGACTGCAGACCACTTTTGAGTCAGACCCTTTAACAGGAAGGCGCAAGACATGTTCTAAGATAATTGTTTCCAGGCAAAATAGCAAAAACGCCTCACAGCAAGTATTAAAGTACAGATAAAGGAGCAACTGCTTCTACCCTCAGCCCCCTAAAGCAAGTAAAGCAAGAGCATGGCACAGCATCTGAAAATCAATTACAGCCAAGAGCAGCAAGATTTTCTGCTCTCAGTCCCAGACTTCTAATCAGTTCCTGTGCTCCAGGGGGTACTGAGTAAGAGGGCCCAAGTCTAGCAGGAAGGTAGAGCACCATCGGAAGCCTGAAAGCCGGGGTCTCAATCAATACCGTCTTCCGAAGACTAATGTCATCATAAAGATAACTCGCTTGCGCAGAAAACAGGTCAAAGCAGAGTGGAGATGGGAAGCAGGAATCGGGTTAGTATTGAAGGTAGTTGTGCCAACTCTTCTACAGTAAGTAGATCACGCGCTGAAAAGATAACGAACCAAATCCATCGAGCACTTCTGCCCCTCGCGGTTCCACCGACTGCCCACCCTACCGCAGCCTGCAAGTCAGCAATTGGTTTCCTCCTTCAGGGTGGCTATCTATATAAACTTAACTAATGGAACCATCTGGCTTAGGTTATTAATCCGTAAAGATATGCAGCTAGTCACTTTACTGCCACAAACAGCTTGCCGGGCAGGCAGCCTTTCCCTTCACTTCCAGTTAGGCTGCAATCCCTACAGGCAACGTGAAACGGGCCCCCGGGGGCCTGCGTGGTTTCACAAACCCGCCACTGGGTTTGGGGTGGGAACGATCCCAAAGAGCCCCTCAAGCCCAGACCAAGCCGTGGGACTCAGCACGGCACGGCTGCTGTCACGAGCAAACTGCCAGGTGCTGTTTTTTCTGACCCCAATGTCCGAAACAGGAGTCACGGTCTACACAAAACCTGTAATTAATCCTTCTGAGCTGCGTTCGTTTATATAGAAGAAAGATGGGAAACGGGGAGCTAGGAAACGAGTAGCTGGGGATAGTTACTGAGCGGCTCCTCAGAGGCAGATTGCCACTGCAAAGCCAACGCCAGGGTGGGTGTTCAGCAGCCAGAAGTGGTTGCCAGGCTCCCGTTTGGGGCTACGCTGAAGCCTCACTTCTATGACTCTGCACGTGCTGGACAGCTAAGCACAACCTCCAGCCCTTCCCTATACAGCAACACGACAGCGATCACTGCTAGACGGCCTAAACATTCCTCTACCAAGATTTCATTTGTTCAGGGGATTCTGCCATGCACAAGCTTTCAATTAAACACATTAAGTACAAGGAGTGATAAACTAGACTACAGTTAGTAAGTCACAAATGGCGATTTTCTGGTCTGCTATTATTTCACCTTCACATATCATTAAGTAAACCTTTGTCAACCTCTCCCAGAAAAGAGTAAAGCTTCTAGAAGGAGTCCACCTTTAAATGCGTAAAACTGTTGATCTTAATTACATACAGGAAGGAGCTGGACCAAAACGAAGTTAACACAAGTCCTCAAGCACTTGCTGCAGCAAGGCCTGCTACATTAAAAAAACAAAAAACACAAAAACACGACCCCACCCAACCCAAAGCTTTGTCTCCCCAGGGTACACGTGTTAAGCAGAAGCAATACACAGTGCAACGCAAAATATTTCTGTGGGTATGTCTGCGCTGCAGTCAAGAGCATGAGTAGTAGCAAAATCGTACCTGCATTAGCAAACAGGGTAGCTATAGCACAGAGGAGATGGGTGCAAGCTAACCGCTTATGTATTTATCCAGTTTCTCAGTGGGTTTTGAGGTCCATGCAGCAACACAGCACTTCTATCAATATCACACCCTCTGATTTACATGATAGTGCTAAGGTGCTAGGGTTAAAAAAGCTATACCAAGACCAAAAATATAAGCCTCCATACTCCCCCCCCCCCACATGTTATGACTTTTTTTGTTAACTTCAGCTTTGATTTTTTAATGCAAGTTTTTGTGTTCAAAGAGGGGGGGGGTGGCCGGTTTGGAATACTGGGGTCAGTTAGCATTAGACAGGCAGGTCAGCTGTGGGGCTGGGCTCTGGAAGGACGTTCTGTTTGTTCACTTTTTTCTTCCCTAGGAACTAGCTATTTTAGAAAAGTTCTTTGCATTGTTTGCAGGATCCACGAAGCTGTAAAACACCAGTTGGTAAAACAGGCTTGACGTGACAGCATGTTCCCAGGCACAGAGCTCTTACCTGATCTTTCAGCTCTGACAGCTGGCCAGAGAGATTGGTCACGAGCTTCATAGTGGACTCTAACTTCTCCTGCAAGTTTCTCAGCTCGTTCTGCTCTCCTTCTGAGTCGCTGCTCACCAGTGACATGGCTCGCATCCGGGGGAACCAGTCAAGGTTTCTCTCCTGAAAAGCAGACGCAAATTGGTAATTAGCATTTGCCAGAGAAAAACCTGTACGTGAGCGCAGAGAAATCTTTAATGCTACACTGGGACATTCTTCAGCTATGCAAGCTCTGCGGTAGTTTTATTTGCATCTTACTGGAAAGTTTGCAAAATTGCCCACTAGAGGCAATGAGGCACTTCAGACGTAACTACAGAAAATTAAGGCTTATTGTTTTTCACAGAACCTTTTTCCCCCGCCCCCCTTTTTTTTTTTTTTTTTAAAAGACATGTTTCAGTGTAATACATGAACACTGGACAACAGAATAGCCCAAACTTAATGTTGTGACAAGCATTTTCCAGTGCTAGAAATGTGGTACGCGGAATCAGACGGTTAACAACTTGAGATAACCTTTTCAATATATTTGCTTTTTCTGGAAGAGTGATGACTGAGTGTTAAGATGGAAGGTTCAATTCCAAACCCACTTCACAAGAAAAATCAAATATTTTCAATAAACCAGTGTAAGAAACTGTATATATATCCTGGTTTTGTTAAAGAACACCCTATCGGAGAAAGATTTCAAAGTGCATCATAAAGTTGAACATGCAACCTCCAGCCCTTCCCTATACAGCAACACGACAGCGATCACTGCTAGACGGCCTAAACATTCCTCTACCAAGATTTCATTTGTTCAGGGGATTCTGCCATGCACAAGCTTTCAATTAAACACATTAAGTACAAGGAGTGATAAACTAGACTACAGTTAGTAAGTCACAAATGGCGATTTTCTGGTCTGCTATTATTTCACCTTCACATATCATTAAGTAAACCTTTGTCAACCTCTCCCAGAAAAGAGTAAAGCTTCTAGAAGGAGTCCACCTTTAAATGCGTAAAACTGTTGATCTTAATTACATACAGGAAGGAGCTGGACCAAAACGAAGTTAACACAAGTCCTCAAGCACTTGCTGCAGCAAGGCCTGCTACATTAAAAAAACAAAAAACACAAAAACACGACCCCACCCAACCCAAAGCTTTGTCTCCCCAGGGTACACGTGTTAAGCAGAAGCAATACACAGTGCAACGCAAAATATTTCTGTGGGTATGTCTGCGCTGCAGTCAAGAGCATGAGTAGTAGCAAAATCGTACCTGCATTAGCAAACAGGGTAGCTATAGCACAGAGGAGATGGGTGCAAGCTAACCGCTTATGTATTTATCCAGTTTCTCAGTGGGTTTTGAGGTCCATGCAGCAACACAGCACTTCTATCAATATCACACCCTCTGATTTACATGATAGTGCTAAGGTGCTAGGGTTAAAAAAGCTTTGATTTTTTAATGCAAGTTTTTGTGTTCAAGGTGGGGGGGGGTGGCCGGTTTGGAATACTGGGGTCAGTTAGCATTAGACAGGCAGGTCAGCTGTGGGGCTGGGCTCTGGAAGGACGTTCTGTTTGTTCACTTTTTTCTTCCCTAGGAACTAGCTATTTTAGAAAAGTTCTTTGCATTGTTTGCAGGATCCACGAAGCTGTAAAACACCAGTTGGTAAAACAGGCTTGACGTGACAGCATGTTCCCAGGCACAGAGCTCTTACCTGATCTTTCAGCTCTGACAGCTGGCCAGAGAGATTGGTCACGAGCTTCATAGTGGACTCTAACTTCTCCTGCAAGTTTCTCAGCTCGTTCTGCTCTCCTTCTGAGTCGCTGCTCACCAGTGACATGGCTCGCATCCGGGGGAACCAGTCAAGGTTTCTCTCCTGAAAAGCAGACGCAAATTGGTAATTAGCATTTGCCAGAGAAAAACCTGTACGTGAGCGCAGAGAAATCTTTAATGCTACACTGGGACATTCTTCAGCTATGCAAGCTCTGCGGTAGTTTTATTTGCATCTTACTGGAAAGTTTGCAAAATTGCCCACTAGAGGCAATGAGGCACTTCAGACGTAACTACAGAAAATTAAGGCTTATTGTTGGCTTTTGCTTTCCTAGCAACTCATTCTCCCCAGCCCCCTTTTTTTTTTTTTTTTTTAAAAGACATGTTTCAGTGTAATACATGAACACTGGACAACAGAATAGCCCAAACTTAATGTTGTGACAAGCATTTTCCAGTGCTAGAAATGTGGTACGCGGAATCAGACGGTTAACAACTTGAGATAACCTTTTCAATATATTTGCTTTTTCTGGAAGAGTGATGACTGAGTGTTAAGATGGAAGGTTCAATTCCAAACCCACTTCACAAGAAAAATCAAATATTTTCAATAAACCAGTGTAAGAAACTGTATATATATCCTGGTTTTGTTAAAGAACACCCTATCGGAGAAAGATTTCAAAGTGCATCATAAAGTTGAACATGCAAGGTGCAATCCCAACTTCCAAAGTCTTCCCATTTGTATTTGCTGAAGATTTCCTGGTTTGTCTTATTTTTCAGTCAAGCAAAGTTTGGCCGTGCTTTTGAATGAAAGAGGAACCATGTTCTAACCAAATATTTTTATAGTTGAAACACTTTCCTTCCAATGCAAAATAAAAATGTCTTTTGACCAGCTGCTGCAGTCTAAAACAGAGGACAGATTCTCCTGAAGTGCTTACAATAAAGTTGCTGTTTAGGCACACAAGTGACCTAAAATTCCAAGCTTAAGTTACAGCCAGGAGCTTCAGAGGGTGCACGCGCTGGGTTTCGTTGCTGCGCGCCTAAGGGCTCGCCGGCACCCTCACGTACACACCCGTGACGTTAAGCACAGACGTGGGCACCGAACAGAAAGCCACAGAGGAGGAGGGGGGCACGCCGCACGCCGACACCTCCCGTTTGTCACTCAGCTGGCTTCCCACCTAGGCTGTCTGCGCCCCCGGAGACGTTCTCCGAAGCTCGGACGATGCTCAGACAAGGAAGGGCAAGATAAGGCGGCCGGCGCGCTGCCACCGGGGACGCCCAACTCCGCCGTCTCTGGGAACATCCACGCCACTAAAAGCGGGGCTGTGCACGCTCCGCCGAGGTTCACGGGAAGTCAGGTGCCATGAGCACAACAACCTTAACCGAGCTGCTTCTGCTCTGCGTAGAGGTCACTAGCGCAGGGACAGGAGGGCCCTTTCCCAGGGAACGCAGCCCAAGGTTCCCACGCGAGGCAAAACCGCCAAAAGGCTTTCCTCCTGATCTCGGTCTGCAGGGCAGATGGTTTCTGCTAATAAAACAGGGGGAAAAAAAAAAAAAAATACAGACAGCCTTTATCAAGACAAGTGCCAAAATATTTTGGACTTGAGGGAAAGACGGTCCCACAACTAATATTTAATAGCACTAATACGCAACATCTCTCTGCGCTCGTCCGACGGCAGTGAAACGCTGGGCGAGGGAAGAGGGGGCAGGCTCGGCGCTTGGACGCTCCGGTCCAGCACCTCGGCCACGAAGCCCTTCCCCTCCCCACCCAGGGAAAGCAAACGGAAACCACTGCTAGTCCTCCACCGCGCTCCCCGAGGCCAAACGTTTTCAAAGAGTAAGCAAGCTAGACTGAAACGGAATTGGACTAAAGTGTAATTCTGCAGGTAACCTGGGACCGTAGGTCCTTGTCCTGAAGTTTCTAAGCAGAGGGAGGCAGCGCAGAGCCCCGACGCTCCTGCCCACCTCTGGCCCGGCCCCTACCCACCTCCCCCCGGAAATATTTTTGTTTTACTTTTTCCCCAAACAGGTGAATTTTGCAAGTGCTCCCAGACCCTCGTCCTTACGTGCTTCTTGTGAGCATAAAGCT